GCCCGCCCGTCTTCCCAATCTCCTTCCGTCTACCCCTCCCTTCCCATATTCTCTCAAAAAAAGAGATATATATTTCCATGAATACCGCCTGTTTCTCCCGGTTCGTTTCGCTTTCTTCGAAACCTGCTATTCTCAGACAACGTATTTCCAAAGTTGCATTGGCTTCCTTCTCTACAGCTTCTTCCTCCTCATCGTCTTCTCTCCTCTCGACCAGCCCCAAGGCTCTCTCATCTCGACCCCCCACCTCTTTTCCTGCATTCTGCCTCTCACCGCCAACGTCTCGCACAATGGCATCCGTCTCCAAGCCCAATGCCGACACTCTGCTCGAGCTTATGAAGGGCCGTCGCAGCTACTACGCCCTCTCCAAGGACCTGCCAATCTCCAAGGACCGCATCCAGGAGATCATTCAGGAGGCTCTGCGCCAGACCCCCAGCAGCTTCAACTCCCAGTCCAACCGCGTTGTCGTCCTCTTTGGTGACGAGCACGACAAGTTCTGGGCCATCGTCTCTGACACCCTCAAGGCCATTGTCCCCGCTGACAACTGGGAGGCCACCGAGAAGCGCATGGCCATGTTCAAGGCTGGCTCCGGCAGCATCCTCTTCTTTGAGGACAGCAGCGTCGTCGAGACCTTCCAGTCCAAGTTTGCTCTCTACGCCGACCGCTTCCCGGTCTGGGCCGCGCAGTCCGTCGGCATGCTGCAGTTTGCCCTCTGGACCGCGCTCGAGTCCGAGGGCCTGGGCGCCAACCTACAGCACTACAACCCCATCGTGGACGAGAAGGTCGCCGAGACCTGGAAGATCCCGGCCACCTGGAAGCTCAACGCTCAACTTGTCTTTGGCGGCCGCGCCGGCGAGGCCGGCCCCAAGGACTACCTTCCTCTCGAGGAGCGGTACAGGGTCTACGGCGCGTGAGCGTGCGTCCACAACGCCTGCAAATTTAATAAAAACCTGAACGAAAAAAAAAAAATTACAATCGAAGTGGTACAGATGCAGCGTCTTTAGATCTTTCGTTTCGCCTTTACTTATGGTAGCATTCACGGCGAGATACACCGACTGGCGAGCTGGGAACAAGCCGGCACCACGACGGAAGCTGGTTTCTTATTGCCTGCTCCCTTTTTTATATACAGCAATAGATATCGAATTGATTTCATTCAAATACAATCCAAAAATTGCAACAAATGAAAATGCTATTAGGTCAGCTGGACCTACAACGAGCTAATATTAATGGGAAATGAATCGCATAGGTATCGATCTAGCCTTGCCTAGCAGTCTTGCGCCTTAGCCTTGTGTTATTGATGCCTCGCATCGCTCATTTGTCGATGTCGGCAAGCTGTCTACGACTTACACGATCGTCTGACAGGCCCATGTGTTCGTCCAGCTGCATGTAGTAAGCAGCCCCGGGACGGATCGCCCTCTTAACAGCGGTACGTCGTAAGCACTAGTCGTATCTGCCGCACCCTCCAACTCAAGCTGCACGAATATGCATGTAAAAGGACATTGTAAAGGATGGAAAGTCAAGAAGAGGAATCATCATTAAGCTATGCGAATAATATGAAACAAAACAAATTAAAACAAAATATGTACTCCGTTGTGGTGTTGAACGTCTCGCTGGTGTTGAAATGTAACCGTGTTATTTCTTCCCCCAATATGTACTCCCATGCAGATTAGTAATTTTTATATGCTTGTTATGGCTGGTTCATATGCTTTGCTTCCCCTCTCCCACTCACTGCATCGTACTTTCTCTTTCTTCTTTCTTCTGGTGTCTGGCTTGTTACTCGTTCACAAACCCGAGGGCCTGGCCCATCTTGATCTTCTGGCCCTTCTCGACAGCCCAGTGCCAGCCGGGCGTGCTCTTGTCGCTGGCCTCGCCGCCCTCTGCGGCTGCGGCATCCGGCTTCGGAGCCTCGAACACAAGAACGACCGTGCTGCCCAGCTGGAAGCCGCCCATCTCCTCGCCCCGGCGCAGCGCGTGGCCGTGCAGGACCGGGCTGGCCGCAGCGTACGTGGCCTCCGCAAAGCCCGAGTACGCCTCGCCCCGTGCGGCCGCCTCCTCGGCCGCGCGGTCGGCTGCCGTATCCGTCGTCAAGCTGTTGGTCCGCAGCTCGCGGTCAAAGTTGACCTTGATGGAGCCCACATTGGTCGCGCCGACCGGGATGTAACTGAAGAAGCCCCAGCGCCAACGGCCGAGCAGAACAACACGCTCGTTGAGCGTGAACAGACCGGGCAACGTACGCTGCAGGTACGGGGACACGCTGTACAGCTCACCAGCAAAGTGGCGGCGGCGCTCGACCACCCAGTTCGTCGGCGAGTGGAACCGGTGGTAGTCGCCCGGCGCCAGGTAGATGACTGCGTAGTACAACGCCGACTTCTTGTCCTTGGACATCAGCTGCGTGTACCAGGGCAGGTCCAGGTCGGCCTGCACCTCTGAGATGGACTTGGCCGACGGCAGCACCGACTGGTCCTCCAGTTCTGCCTCGGGGCGGTCGGTGACGTCAGGGCCGGAAAGCAGGCCGGGCAACGTGTACGAAATACCATTGACCTGGGCAAACTCCTCGTCGGCGCGGACCAGACTTTCGTCGCTGGTCAGTGCCACGTTGGCCTGGCCCTTGTTGGCGGCCGTCGGGGTCACAGCGGCGCGCAGGTTGGCTGTCGACGAAGAGGTGGAGGAGGCCGACGACGACAGCTGGCCGTTGACAATGCTTGGCGCGGGTGTGTGCTTGCCGAGCAGGGCGTCGAGGGTGTAGGTCATGCCCTTGACTTGCTCAATGTCGCCGCCTTCGATTTTGCCGAACTGTAGAATGCGGCCATCAGAGGGCGACGTCAAGGCGCTGTGGTTCGGGTCGATTGGCCGCACACCGGGCTTGAGGGTCCGATAGAAGAACGCGGCGAGGTTGGGGAATTTGTGAAGGTCCGGTTCCTCGACCTCACTCAAGCTGTTGTTCCACAAAACAGAAGATGTGAGCTACAGTTTTAACTAATATCGGGAGAAAAACGAACTGGCACAGAAAGGATACGGTTGTGTGGTCGGTACGTACTTCACTCCGAAAATGTAGCTGTAGAGTTTAATACCTGGTACGCGCATGTAGTATGGAAGGGTGAGCTCATTAAAGCGTCCCCATAACCGAGAGAGCGCCTTGAGAGGCAACGTGGACATGACCTGGACCTGCCTGAAGACGTGGCGATGGGTGTTAGCAAAGCAGTTTCGGCATTTCACAGGCTCACCGCCTTGGTCTTCCATATATAATTATAGCAAAAAAAGAAACGGTTGTTGTTCCATACCAAGGGCCATCGGGCCGGATCCGCGGTCGTTTCTTGGGCTTTGTGGCGTTTTCAACTGCTCCGTGCTCCCCGTCCTCCTGTGCGGCCTGGCGGTTGCGGACTTTGTTGAATTGGACGAGGCCCAGGAAGCCAATGCCGAGCCCGACCGGGATGCGGTACCATTGGATTTTGGAGTTTTTCAAGGCATGACGGAGGCGGGCCGAGAAGCGAGGCCGACGGAAGGCCTTTTGGGAGTAGAAGCGGAATGGAGACGTGTTGATGACGAGGCGGCGAGGTGGGTTGAAGAGGATCTGGCGTTCGGAGAGCGAGACAGAGAAACGGCCGGTGGTAATGCCCTTGGAGAAACTGCCCCTGGACAGGCCGAGTCGAGACGGGGCGGACGCCATTCTGCCTGCTGGATGGGGGGCAAACAAAAAGACGATTAGCACGACGAAGCCAACGAGGATCAAAAGGAACAACATTTGTTCGATTTGGTGAGTCAATCAGGTAGGCGAACCATGAAAGAACCGAGTCGCCATGAAGTCGACTGGTTTGGAAGAGAGAGAGAGAAACGAGAGACGGAGAGGACGAGCAAGGGAGGGGGGGGTGTGCGTGGAAGCGATGCCAATTTCGGGTAGCTACAGCCACTGTGCATAAAATGAGCTGTTTTCTGTTGAGGTGATGATGGCGGGCAGGACGCTGGCATGTGGCAGAAACAGTGCCTCTGCCTGCCTTTCTGCTGTATCCCACCTAAAAGGGGTGGGAAGGGCGGTCAGGGAAGGCGCGACTGGACGCTAGGGAAGGGCATGCGCTGGTTCGTGGTGGAAATTTTGGCTATCGACACAGTCTGGACGTGGAATTTGCGGGAGGACGCTGTTCCACATGCAATTTCTGCGGCCTGTACAGGAATCAACAAAACTTGATTTATATCACGAGTGAAGAACAAATGAGAGCCCGATCCACTTAGCACGCATGTACATACTATTTTCGCAACAGCTGCAGCTGCCGTCGAGAATTTGCAAGACATTGTACGCGCTGGAAAGGCAGCTGCTACTTGTCGCGTGCCAGCTCCTCACGTGATACTGAAAATGAGAATACAGTTCGAATAGGGTTGTAGGGAATACGCTTGGAAAGAACTAAGGTTACAGGTACTGGCAGGGGTAAACGTACGCTAAATTGAGGGTCTTGAAGCATGTCGACCTGCTGTTGGGAACTCATGCCAAACGCCCGCGGGCCATCCATGGAAGATCCCGGTCGAAGTACCAGATACTCTGCAAACTGCAATCATGTTGTAGCGATCCTGTGTACTAGTACTTTACGATTGATGACCCACATTAATTATCAGCTAGCCTTCCAACGGCTGCACGGAACACGCCAGGTGGACAGTTCGGGGCAGCTGAAGTGCTTCAGTCATTCGTCGTGCATTCATAATATTGAGTTCGAAAGTACATTCGTACGCGCAGCAAGTACGACACACACTTCTGCACCTTCCCTCTCTGCTGTACGCCACTTTTCGTCGTTGTCCGTCGCACTTTCCATTTTCACTCTGTTTTGTCGCTTCCCTCTCCTCTTGCCTAATAAACCGCTCACTTTCATATCTCTCCACAGTATTTCCATCCCCTTGTTCAAGACCTGTCGAAACAGGCGACACATTCTCACAATACCACCGACAACCGACTACCGACCGCCACCTTTTGACCGTGACGACGCCGCCAGTAGATACCGCTGGCACCAGGTCCCGTTATGGAAGACCCAGGCCCTCCCGCAGGCTACGGAGACCTGACGGTCTCCGTCCGCCTGATCTCGCCCGCGCAGGATCTCACTGATTTCCCAGACCTCTCTAATTTGCCCGTGTCGACCACCGTTGGCCAGATCAAGATCTTGATTGGGAACGAGTTGACCTTTCGCAACCGGTCGCCCGCAGGTATGCGGGTTATTTACCGTGGCCGGCTACTGGATATGGATGAAAAGACGCTCGCGGATGTGTTTGGTATCTCCACGGTTCGTTGCCTGTCTTGCCTGTTTCTTACCGACCCAGTCCTGCCCTGCTTTCTGTTCTTTTCTGACTCCTCTTCGTTTGCTTCGATTTTTTAGATCCAAGAGACCAGACTGCAAGTCCTCCATCTTGTTTTGCGGGACAACGGCGCCAGCGCGAACGTGAACCCTGCGCCCATTCCAAACGTTAGGATGGCCAATCCTTTTGCTCCGAGAACCGTTCCCGGTGCACCCCCGACTCTGCCTCCGCTATCTGCTTACCAAAACCATCGACCACAGGGGTCTCATGTACCCACTGCTTTCGCCGCAACGCACCAGCGAATCGACCAACATCCCGGGCAATATCCCACAGTACACCACGGGCCACAATTCGGTCAGGCCCAACAGACACAGCAGACCTCGGGCCAGTTAGGGGGTGTGCGTCTCGTTCGCGACGTGCAGCAAGAACTCCAATCGAGAGGCGGACAAATGGAGGAGTGGCAAATGCAGCAGGTTTTGCGTCTGCAGCAAAGACACCAAGAGCTCACCCAGCGCTATCCACGGCGACAAGAGGGGCTGCATATGGCGGAGACCACCAGACAGCAGGGAACACAGGCGCAGGCCTATACCACCGGGGCAACTCAAGGATATGTGCAAAACACTGCCCGGCCCAACGTCTATGTGTTGGAGTCGCCAACTGGTCCGCGTGCAGTTGTTGTCAGTGGTGTTCGGGACGCGCCCCGACAGAGCATAGTATATGCGGATGTGGATACTATACGCCGAGAAAACCAAAATTTGCTGGCGGAACTTATCCAACAGCAAAACCGACAAATTCAGCAGCAGAGACAGAGCTACGAATCCCTGATGCGACAAAATATGCAGAGCGTGGCGGTTCTACAGCACTTGCGCCAGCTCCAATTGCAAAGCGACCAGATGAATGAAGAGCAAGCTGCCGCCCAGCAGAGAGCAACACAGGGTCAGGCAGGCCAGCTGGACCCAACAGTTGAGGCTGGCCAACAACAACAACAGCAGCAGCAGCAGCAGCAGATGCCGAATCTAGACGCAAACCACCACCAAGGACTGGGCCTACAACCAAACAACCCTGGAGCTGGTTTCCTGGCAGCCATGTGGCCCCATGTTTGGCTGCTTACTCGCCTGGTGTTGTTTGTATGGTGGTTCACAAACCCCGATGCCAGCTGGACCCGCTGGATCATGGTGATCCTTATTGCAACGGCCGTCTTCATCTACAACACGGGTGTGCTTGACGGCCTTGCTGACCAGATCTGGACGCCCATCCGTGCCCACCTCGACGGTCTTGTCAACCCTCAAAACACAAATGGCCAGGCTGGTGCACAGAATGAGGCCGACGCTCAAAACGCCGCGGTCCCTACTGGTGAGGCGAATGCTGCTGTCGACCGTGCTGGCGACGTTCCGCCCGCACCTCCCCCTATTGGCCGTGCCGGTGGACGCGACCCCGACCCTGCCGAGGTGGCGGCGCGGCTGGTAGCACAGCGCCAGATTAACAACGGCCAGCGTCTGCGGGATTTTGCACAGCGGCTGGAGCGCATTGGAGTAATGTTCCTTGCCAGCCTGGCTCCTGGCATCGCCGAGCGGCACGTGGCTCTTGCGGAGGAGCGCGAGAGAGAGGAGCGCCGCCGTGCCCAAGAAGCAGCGGAGGCAGCGATTGCAGCGGCAGCAGAAGCACAAGCTCAAGCAGAAGCTGCGGCGGCGGCGGCGGCTACAGCAGTAGAAGAGGGAGTGAAGAACACCAGCGACGAGAATGCAGAGACTGGCCAAGGTGCCCAGGAGGTGGAGCCCAGCTTGGAGGACGAAACTGCAGCCGTCGATGCGCAGTGGCAGATTGAGCAGCAGCAGCAGGTTGAGCGGGATGCGGTGGCCGGTGTGCAATAGCAATGCTGCTAGAATCCAAGAGACAGCGAGGTGGGAAATGGGGATATCTACGTGCTAAGAGAGCTGTGCCATTGGGCCTCGGATAGGGGCAGTGGCCTATCGACTGATCGTTTTGAAGGTTCTTGTGTCTGGCTACATAGAATTGCGATTTCAGCCAAGCAAAGCAGCAGTGTGGAGCAAACATTGAAATGAGCATCTACAAAACAGACGCAGAAGTAAACAAAGCAATCATGATTTGAAAACAAAGCAGCAAATGCGTAGAAGCATAGAATCGTTGCGCCATTGATTCTTACAACATACTTTTTCGACGACTCCGCATTTGACATTGCTCCCTCGGAAGTGGTGCTTTACTAGCGCTCCAATGCCGCCGGAATTCGAATGCGGTTCCCTAGGCCTAGCTGGAGAGCGCATTCTGTCCGTCGTCTTTTAGTGGAGTGGTTCGGAGCTACAGGCAGCTTTGGGGGCGGCGAGCCCGGGGCCTTCGCAGCTGTAGCGTGGAAACTCCAAAGGTGCCAAGACCGAGCCTCGGCAACTGCCCAAACAGGCTAAGACACAATCGTCATGGCTACTTCCTTTAAAGCTGCGAGTGTCACGCATCTCGACACGTAAAGTGTACATTCCTTACAGAGCAGAGTATTCTCACGTACTCAAATCGAATTTACGACATCCTCCTTGTCCTATCACCTTCGCATCTTTCATCGCCTTTCTCGCCACATCGCCAGCCATGGACTACGATCTCAACCTCCATGACTTCTCGTCGATCTTCTCGCTCAAGGGCAAGATCGCTGTCATCACCGGCGGCTCTCGTGGCCTCGGCCTGAGCGCAGCTTCGGCGTACGTCTTCTCCCCCTTTTTTATTTTACTGTTTTTTTTCTCCCGTTCACAGCCGTTTTGAACGTCCCTGCTGACTTTATTCTTCAACAAGCATCCTCCAAGCCGGTGCCTCCAAGGTGTACATCAACTCCCGCAAGAAGAAGGTCTGTGACGATGCGGCCGCCGCCCTCAACAAGCTCCCCGGTCTGGCCCCCGGCGCCAAGGCCATCTCGGCGCCCGCCGATGTTACCAACCCCGAGGGCCTGCGCAAGTTTGTGGACTTTGTCAAGCAGGACAGCCCCGAGGGCATTGACATTCTCCTGGCCAACGCCGGCGCCACCTGGGGCGAGCCCTTCGACACCCACCCGGATGCCGCCATTGCCAAGGTGCTCGACCTCAATGTGCGCGCCGTCTTCAACACCATTCGCGAGTTCGGCCCCTCGCTGCTGCGCCGCGGCACGCTCGAGGACCCCAGTCGCGTACTCGTGACGGGCAGTGTCGCCGGCCAGGGCATTGGCACGATCGGCAAGCAGGCCACCTTTGGCTACAGCGCCAGCAAGGCCGCCGTCATCCACCTGGCCCGCAACCTGGCCGTCGACCTGGGCCCGCGCCACATTACCGTCAACTCGATTGCGCCCGGCTTCTTCCCCACCAAGATGTCGCAGGGCCTGTTGGCGATGGCAGACGGCGGTGCGGACGGCGTGGCCAAGAGCAATCCGATGCAGCGGCTCGGCAAGCCGGAGGACTTTGCCGCCGCCGTGGTGTACCTGACGTCGCGGGCAGGCTCGCACGTCAACGGTGCAACGCTGACGATTGACGGAGGCGCCATGTGGCAGACGGGCCAGATGGGCGGCATTAACAAGGCGAAGATCTAAACGCCAGCGTCTGGGAGGTGTTTGTGGATAGGTCGAGATGCAAGGCACGCAACCATATATAAGAATTGGTTATGTTCACATTAGGATATTACTCTGCATGTGACACACTGATGCAAGGGCAAAATAACGGTATTTATGCTGTGACGTTTTTGGTATGTAATCCCAAACCGCATGAGATGAGTATGTCGCCCCCTGCTCTATGTTTTATTCGGTGTATGGTGTATGGCATATGGTCTGATAAACAATGCATACTGGCTTCCCCTCCTACTTTCCACGCTTTCCTAGTTCTTGCGTGCCACCCAATGACTCGACTTGTAGACCGTCTGGAGCAGCGACTGGTCGTCGTGGATGTAGGGTGTCTCGACACCCGTCTCATGCGTGACAACCGTGAACCCCAGCTTCTCAACCAGCGCCCGCACCTCGTCGTCGCTCAGCTCAAAGCTGCCCGGGTCCGCAATACCTGTCGAGGTCGTCGCGTCGTGTTCACCATCACCGTCGTCATCCCGGCCGTGGTTGCCTGGCGGGTTGTTCTCAAAGTGCCATAGCAGCGGTCCAATGTTGATCAGCAGTCCACCAGGCTTGAGACAGTGCCGGATCGTCTTGATGTACCGGATCAGGTTTGGCGCCGTGTCGAGGAAGAACACACACGCCACGGCGTCGTACACCTCAGCATGCTCGGCGTCGCTGTACAGACACAAAAAATCGGCAGCGCACATGCTCATCGTGCCGATCCCGTGCTGGCCGGGCTGTAGCGGCTGCTGCATTTGCTGCATCGACGCATCTACAATCGCTTGGCCTGGGTGAACGTCCGGCACGGCGTACGAGCGCAGGTGGTTCTCGCGCACACGGTGGTTGGAGAAGGAGTGCACCCATGGGTAGATTGTGTGCTGGCCGGCCTTGCGCGTAAAGTTGAGAATGTACGACGACGCCAGCAGTTGGTGATATGAGATCTCGTTGCCCTCGGCCTCGTAGCCGGCGAGGCACAGGTCAAATACCAGGCGGCCCAGCCCCGCGCCGGGGACCAGTACTTTGAGGCGGCCGCGGTAGTACCAGTCGTCTTCGTCGTCGCTGTCCCCGCCGGTGGCGTTGTGTCCTTGTCCATCGTTGGCCGTCGCCGCAGCTTCCGCAGCCGTTGCGGCCACTTCCTCTCGCCGTATCCGCTCGGCAGCCAGCGCCCGCATAACAGGTCCGTAACTCTTTTCCCGCTCGTCCGCACCGGCGGCTGTCCAGTCCCGTAAAAACTGCCGCAGGGTGCTCCGCGCCTTGTCGACATCTTGGTGCTTGGCAACGCCGGACCAGTGTGCCGGCAGCTTCGGTTCTGCGCCGGGTGCTACTGGTGCTGCTTCTTCGTTGTGCGCGTGAGCATCATCGCTGCCCCCAACACGGAACGACTCCAAGCCAAACCGCACAATCTCGCGGGCCAGCTCCGCGTTGCTCTCAATGGCCTCGTCAACACGATCCAGTGTTTCGAGATACGAGAAAGGCTTTGCCGCAAGCAATTTCCAGTCGTCCTGGGACAGTGCATAGAACGACTGCCTTCGGAGATGCGTACAGTTGAAGTGCGATACCTTTGCGTATTGTCTGTGCGAGGTCAGTATGGATTCTTGGCTCCGTGGTTTGCTTCCCCAGGCACCGAAACAAACATACAGAAACGAGTCTAGGGCGCAAAAGAGCACTCTAATTTCCTCGGGATCTTGAATTGCGTCGTCAGACACCTCCCACCGGTTATCGCCACCTGATGGTGGCTGCGTCTCCGCCATAACTGATACTGTTGAAAGGACCGCCGTGTAGGATGCTGGTTCTTGTCGAGTGCCTCACAGTCTCCTTATTTTTGTTTGATCTCTCCTGAGAGAGGTCGTCTAGCTGTTCTCTTCTGATATTGGGTTAGCCAAAGCTGTGGGAATGGTTGAGTGTCTCAGTTTCAATGGCAATATGGTGGGGCGGGCAGCAGAAAGATAAGACCCAGATAAAGATGGGATGAGCAAAGTTGAGCGCAGACAAAATCGTTCCTGAGACGGCTTGCTGGTCGATTACATGGCTGATTTAAAATCAGTCTACCGTGTCACTTTTCTAATTCCTCGTCTCTGATTACTAGCTTTTTTCCATTTTGGTGGTGCTGTTCATCGTCCCTGCCAGTTCTTTGCTCTCGTTTCGAGTCTCCACATACCCACACCTTCCTAGCTCGAGCTATCCTTACTAGTTGCACCTGCTGGTTTTGCTCTATTTGGCGCTCTTTCGGCTACTGTCAGGGGGTGCTTTCCACCGCCGCGAATCGCTGCACTTGGCGGGGTTGTGTTTTTCAAACAGTTGGGCGGTACCTTCCGTTTCTTGCACTCCGGTCTTACCTTTACTGACTAACGTCAGCCATTGCTCTTTCTATTGACCTGGCCGCAACTTCAAGCCCCGAAGCATACACAAACCTGAAGCTCATATAGACTGGGTTCTACTATATACATACCGCCTACTTAGACCTGGCTGCTGGCACGCACTCACCTCACAATGGCTACCGATCTTGACAACACCAGCGAGACTGTGACGTTCAGCACGCCGCTTCCGCGCGCCGTGGACACGCAGATTCACGTCCGTCTGACGACCCGCGATAAATGTCTTATGCTCTTCGTCACAACGGCTGGCACCGAGGACGGCGAGACCCTGGCCCCAATGGGCTCATTTGTCTATGCTGTGCCGGATGTACGTCTGCCCCTTGTGCGGTTCTGACAAGTACCAGTACCAGGAGATCTGCTAACAACCAAAAGCGCTTCAAACTGAGTGAGCCGCTGTGCACAAACATCTATGTCGAGGAGAACTCGCTCGAATTCGCTGCCCGCCTTGCCCGGCTTGTCGTCAAGCGCACCCAGCAGCCTGTGTACGTGTCGAGCTCGTTGAGTTTGGACCGTATGGGCCTAGGGGGCACCGTTGAGGAGGTGCTCGAGGCGTTCCAAGCCGTCACTGCAACGCTTTTGCCTCTACTTCCCAAACCTCTCCAGAATGGAGTATAGGGATGGTGGGGGGCCACAGTCGCCCAGACAATGCAAACGGCGCGTTGAATACAAACGTATACGTCGAGTCTTGTCCGCCCTCGTGGTCCAACAGATGTCTCACTCGCACATAGTGTCGCTGTCCGTTGGTTGGACATACAAACCAAGATGCAGACAAACAGACAAAACGACAAATCGATACATAATGATGTCCTGCAGATAGACGGCAAACGGACGAGCAACCGCACCAATATCTTTACACGAAGGTAGCTTTTTTGCCAGCCACCATCTCATTGGCCAGAGCCGGCTTAGCGATGTCAAGGCACGGGTGTCA